AATAGAATAGAATAGAATAGAATAGAATAGAATAGAATAGAATAGAACAGGAATAGGAATAGAAGTGTGAGTGGACACATAAGGAATTTGTCTTCAGTGCATAAGATTGTACATAAAAGCTGTAAGCGATAAATCATGATCATGGTCATCATCAAATTTTTAAAAAGCTTACTTATTTTATTTATTTGCTGCCCATTTCACCTCAAAGGGTTTTGTTGAAAACTTAAGTTAACCCAGGCTTTGGGGACAGAGTGACTGAGGAGCTCACTTTTTGGTTTTCTTTTTCCTTGGCTTGGCTTTTATTTATTAATTAAATTTATTTCTGCCCCATCTCAATGCAAGGCGCTTTGTATTTTGCTCTTTGGGTCTCTTGGATTCTCCTTTCCATGAGTTGTTTTTTAAATGTAAGCTGCTCAGAATTGCTTAGGAGTTGGGCAGCCTATTATTTATAACAACCATAATAAACTTGTTACATAAATCTAAAAAGGGCCAAGGAAGCAAGTTCCTGATCTCCCCCCACCTCCCTGTGAAAAGGGGGGTTCGCTGTAGGGAAGGGAAGACAGCTGGGCAGCTGCCCCGATGGCCAGAGAGAGGCCCGACAGTCTGCGCCCAGAGTCAGTCTGAAGAAGCATCAAGGACTCTCAAGGAACAGGAGAGAAGCCAAGAAGGCCATACACTCTCGGGAGAGAACAATGGGGCAAGCAGGCATCCTAAGGGGATAATCCCCTTCCAGAACCGGGCAAAATAGAGGAGGGGGTTACTCACCGGGCTCCCTTTGGGACCATCATCTCCTGGGGGTCCTTTGGGGCCTGGGGGTCCAGCAGTCCCAGAGGGGCCTGCTTCCCCCTTTTCCCCTCTCTCTCCTTTAGGGCCCTGTCAAAGGAAGAGGATTGTTAGAAGGCTTGAGTTGTTTCAGCAACGGATTAGGTCACAGGGACAAAAACTGATGGGCACTTCAGAGGAAATCAAAACAATGACCGGCGTTTGTTCTGATCCTCAATCAGCATCCCAAGAAGACACAGATGTCTCTTCCGCTGCGGTCTCTTCGTGGGATACACAAGAATCCGAACGACAGAGTTGGAAGGGAGACCTTCTATTTTAGTTCTGTTTGATTGTTTGTCAAACATGTACAAGATAACAAGTATAGGTATGAACAGGAACAGGAACGAAGGAAGTAAATACAGATAAATGGGGACAGTAGGACAGGGACGGTAGGCGCGCTGGTGCGCTTATGGACGCCCCCTTTGAGGACCTCTTAGGAATGGGCTGAGGAGGTCCACGGTGGACAGTTTGAGAGTCCAACCCCCTGCTCATACAGCTGACCCTTTGCTGGGGTGGTCAACAGGGGTGGGATTCAAGTTTTTTAACAACCGGTTCTGTGGCCATGGCTTAGGTGGTGAGTGTGGCTTGGTGGTCATGTGACTGGGTGGACATGGCTTGGTGGTCATGTGACTGGCTGGGCGTGGCCAACTCAATATCACTCACATTGAGGCACGCATCTCCTCGCCTGGCCTCTCATGACTGTGGGGATGCTGCAAGTGTGAAAAATGGTCATAAGTCATTTTTTTAGTGCCATTGTAACTTTGAATGGTCAGTCCACACAAGCAAAGGAGGGGGGGGGAACTCCAGAGAAGTTCCTGAGACAGGAAGTCTAGTCCTGCCAAGAATGTAACAAAGGTTAACAGAGAGGCAGTTTCTGTAAGCAACACCAGAATGTTTCCTTCCTGCCTTCCTTACAGGATTAGCCCTGTAATTTCTTCTAACAACCGGTTCTCTGAACTGCTTAGAATGTTAACAACCAGTTCTAGTGAATAGGTGCGAAATGGTAGAATCCCACCTCTGGGTGTCAAACTCAAGGCCCATGGGCCAGATCCAACCCGCAATGTGGCTGTCCTAGTCTACTCAGTGCAAAGAGGAAAGATCAGACCAGCGTGGCTTTGGCCCGGTCTACCCAATGCAAAGAGGAAACATGCCATCAGTTTGGGGACTGGAGTCAAGTTGGCCACACCCAACCAATGAGATGGCCATGCCCACCAGCCCCCCGAGGTCAACCACGGCCCTGATGCGGCCCTCAATGAAATTGAGTTTGACACCCCTGCCCTCTACCATTCCAGACAGGTGCCTCTTCTCAAAAGCCTCCAGTGACGGAGTGCCCATAACTTCTCATGGCAACCACAACTGTGAAGGAATCACAGTTATCCACCGGAGAACCATTTCTATCACACTTTTGGCAGAGCTACATAAAGTTTTGGGTATACAAATTGTGATATGTAAAAATTACATATGAAGGATTATACCTGTGAAAATGAGAAACAAAAAGTAACGCCATATTTATCCTATTAATGACTTATGGCAATATTACTGGAATATTGTATAATCATAAAAGCAAGGTTGTCTGTGTTCTGTAAAAATGTGAAATTTCTGGCTTGATCATGAAAATGTCAAACCTTCTGCAGAGATATGTGCAAAATTGTTGGTGGGTCACTTTGACCTGACAGGACTGTATAATAGGCTATTTAGTCTTGTTGGCCAAAATAGAGAAATGCTGATGTTCATAAGAGGAAAAGAGAAGTCATGAGAAGGTTTCCAGGACATCAGATACGTAGGTGGTGTTTAGTGGAAAAGTACCAGTAGATCTAGGTGCTTATCCAGAGAGAGTCCAAGTGTGTTTTTGTCTCACAAATACTTGGAAGAGTTATACGTGGTTTCCCATTTGCACCATAAAAATAAAATGGATTTTCCTTGCATGATCCTTGTAAGACAAAGTGAACACCGGGAGGGAATGCAGTTGTGAATCTGGGTTCTTATTTTCTCAAAGGAGCCCACTTCCTACACCGGAATGTGGTGAGTCGTGTCTTTTTGACTTCTCCTACCTTGATTAAGCATCTGGCTTCTGTGGGAGTGGATTTCAAGGGACCAACTGTAGGAAACTGGTCCAATGAATAGATAAGTTGGTGAATTGTGGATATGCAGAAGAATTAGGGGTCTGAAAGACAGCTGAGATGGGAGCAAGCCCAACAGTGGTGAGTACAAGGGTCCTCAAACTTGGCAACTTGTGGACTTCTGGGAGTTGAAATCCAAAAGTCTTAAAGTTGCCAAGTTTGGAGACCTCGGATCTAGTAGAATATTACTCCAGAAGAGATTATTGATGTGGGGGTCAGAAAAAGGGACAGAACTGGAAACAGTGTTATAAACTCCATTTTGGAAATCTTTGCCTGAGGCTTTCTAACCATTCCTGAGCACCAATCTGATTCCATTTCATCTCAATTCCAGGTGGATGCTTTTTTTAAAAAAAGGTTTTAAAACTTACTGGTGGTCCAGAGTCTCCGGGAAGCCCAGGTTCTCCCGATTCTCCAGGTTCTCCCTGCCAAAGACAAGACAACGGAGGTGCTACAGCCAGAGTAACACAGTGGTCAGAGGGCAGGACTGCCAGCTACTTCTGCTGACTGACTGCAATTGGGCAGTTTGAATCTCCGCAGGCTCAAGGTGGACTCAGCCTTCCGTCCTTCTGAGGTGGGTAAAATGAGGACTCAGGTGGTTGGGGGCAAGTGTTCTGTCCCAGGTCCCCAAAGATGACAAACCTCTGAAGTGACCTCAAAAGATTCCTTTATTAGGAGCGCCGGCAGCTTCGCAAAAAAATTCTCTCGCAAGGTAACAAGTCCAGCCGGCTGGAAGATAAATAGTTGTCTCCACCCCCTGCCTTTTATCCCCAGAGGTAAGGTAGGGCCTCGCTAGCAGCGGTGGCTTTTCTGTCCCAAGGACCGACCCATAGATTTCCACTGCTCTCCTCTCCTCTGCCCTCTGGGCAACCACACATCAGGCACTGGACCCAGCTGTTCCTCCTCTTCTTCATCAGGACCCTCCAGACCTGGGGGCTGTTGACTCTCCATCTGAGGGCTGACGGACGGCCCAGTCTCTGCCTCCGTCTCTCTCTCTCTCTCTCTGACAGCTCCATTTCCTCTTCACTCTCAGAGCACCCAGGTTGCCCTGATGCTGACCCTAACTCACATTCCTCCTCCTCCTCCTCCTCCTCCTCCTCTGATTCGGCTGCTGGAGGGGCTGGCAGCTGACAGGCCACAACAGCAAGAGGCTGACTTTGTAAACTGCTCAGAGAAGGCTGTAAAGCACTGCAACACAGTTATATGAGTCTAAGTATCCTTCTCAACTCTGAGGTATTTTGGTCTGGCCAGTGAAGATGCTCAGAGGGTTAGGATGGAGTCAAGACCTTTCTCCAGGTTTCCTATAATTTCTCCAACCTCCCCAATCTGCTCTTCGTTTGTACCCCTGACAGGTAGCCGGAGAGCTTTGGTAAGTACCCCCGCCCTCCCCATTCTTAAAACCCAGCTGAGGCTTTCAGCCAGAGGCCTCCCCCCACAACTGGATCTTGCCGCCCCCCCTTTCTTAACCGCCGTGTTTTAATGCTCTGTCTTCCCCTGCAAAATGGCGTTACCTTTTCGCCAACGGCTCCTGGATTTCCAATCCCTCCTGCAGGACCTTGTGGCCCATCAGCTCCGGGGGGTCCCCCTGGGCCCCTGGGCCCGGGGGGGCCCGGAGGACCCTGGAAAAGGGAAAGAAAATAATCTTTCAGTTGACAGAAAGACGAAGCTTTTGTACAAAACAGGGGTCCCCGAAATTGGCAACTTGTGGGCTTCAACTCCCAGAATTCTCCAGCCAGCATAGTTGCCAAGTTTGGAGACCTCTGGTCCAAAACAGACACAGTAACATTAACATCTGAGAGAAAATAATTTACTTTATTACCATTTGGCCAACGTCCCCAGTTTCTCCCTTGTCACCTGGAGGTCCAGGTAAGCCCTGTGGAAAGAATTAGAAAGGGGGTGTGTGTGTGTTTTGCTTTAGCCTTTGACAAGATAAAACATTTTACCTGAAGAGATAAAGTGAAGGCAAGCTTGCACTTGCAAATACTACGGCTGCGTCTATGCAACACATCTCACAAATCCATGCAATCCACAGGATGTGAGAAGCCAGGTGATACAACCAACCATCACAGGAGTTCTCTGCTGTTGACAGGCAGGATGACAAGAAATGCTTGATGCTGATCAGCTCTCCAATGAGACCAAAGTGATGCCTATTTCCTCACCTGGCTAAAAGATAGAGAGCTCCCAATCCCCCTTCTGTGGGCCAAATATTATCCTGGAACCCCTATGACTGCCTCTGTGCTCCAGTTCATCGCCTGTGCCAGTTGTGTGGAAGGGCTTGGCCTTTGTTTTCTACAAGTTGTGGCTATCAAACTTATCCAATTAAACTTTGCCATCTTTTTGCAAATTCTACATTTGATCCTAGCTAAAAAGGCTAAAAAGCAGTCTCCTTTTAATATTGCCGTGTTTTACTTAATACTCGGCAAAATCTGGCAGGACCTTGCTAGAAACTATTAGTTTTATATTTTTAATTGACCTTCATTTTCTTCATTCTACTTTCAATTGTACTTTATAGCATTCACCAGTGAGCCATGGTGGTGACAGAACTGCAGGCTACTTCTGCTGACTGCCGGCTGCCTGCAGTTTGGCAATCCAAATCTCACCAGGCTCAAGGTTGACTCAGCTTTTCATCCTTCCAAGGTGGTAAAATGAGGACCCAGATTGTTGGGGGCGAGAGGCTGACTCTGTA